TAAACCTTTCGCATTTAAGAATTTTTGGTTGTATCTCTTATGTACACATAGACATTTAAGAATTTTTGGTTGTATCTCTTATGTACACATAGATTCTGCTGAAAGAAGTAAACTTGATGCCAAATCTAACAAATGTGTTTTTGTTGGTTATGGTGGTGATGAGTTTGGTTATCGATTTTAGGACTATGAAATCCGGAAGATCATCAGAAGCAGAGATGCCATATTCAATAAGAATGTGATGTACAAAGACAGATCAACTGTAGAATCAAGTAGCTCCAGTACAAAAGCTAAAACAAAGGAATTTGCTGAATTTGAGGAGATTTCTGAAAATGATGCTCAGACTAGTCCTGAAGCAGTTCAAGAGGAACCAAGCACGCCAAAAGTGAGATGCTCCTCCAGAATTCCTAAGCCAACCCAGCGTTACTCGCCTTCTTTGCACTACCTGTTGCTGACTGACAGTGGTGAACCAGAGTGTTATGACGAAGTAATACAGGTGGATGATTCAGTCAAGTGGGAGTCTGATATGCAAGATGAGATGGACTCCCTCATATCAAATCAGACGTGAGACTTAGCTGAATTACCTCAAGGTAAGAAAGCTCTTCATAACAAATGGATTTACAGGATCAAAGAAGAGCATGATGGGAACAAGCGCTACAAAGCAAGATTGGTTGTCAAAGGCTTTCAGCAAAAAGAAAGTATTAACTACAATAAAAATTTCTCCCCAGTCGTAAAACTGACTACAATCAGACTGGTGTTGAAAATTATAGTTGTTGAGAATTTACATCTTGAGCAGTTAGATGTAAAAACAGCTTTCCTTCATGGTGATTTGGAGGAGGAGATTTATATGAAGCAACCAGAAGGCTTCATAAAGGCAGGCAATGAAAATCTAGTATGTCGGTTGAAAAAGAGCTTGTATGGATTAAAACAAGCTCCCCGGCAGTGGTATAAGAAGTTTGACAGCTTTATAGGCAAAAACGATTTTACTAGAAGCCAAGCAGATCATTGTTGCTATATCAAGAGGTTTGACAATAGCTTCATTGTTTTGTTGTTATACGTTGATGACATGCTCGTTGCAGGTTCAGATCTGCAAGAGATTACAAATTTGAAGCAAAAATTATCAAAGCAGTTCGCAATGAAAGATCTTGACGCTGCAAAGCAGATTGATTACAAATTTGAAGCAAAAATTATCAAAGCAGTTCGCAATGAAAGATCTTGACGCTGCAAAGCAGATTCTTAGAATGAGGATCAAGAGAATTATCAAAGCAGTTCGCAATGAAAGATCTTGACGCTGCAAAGCAGATTCTTAGAATGAGGATCAAGAGAGACACGAAGTCTAGGACTTTGATGTTATCACAGGTTGAGTACATCAACAAAGTACTCTCCAGGTTCAACATGCAAGATGTTAAACCAGTGAGTACACCTTTAGGTGTTCATTTCATACTTTCCAAAGAACAGTCACCGAAGACAGAGGAAGAGCCAGGGCCGGCCCTGGGGTAAGCCCACCAAGCCCTGGGGCTGGGGCAACCCAGGATCGGGGGGCAACCCATTCCTCGCCCTCCTTCACCCCCAAACTATAATTATCTTTGATTTTTAAAGTGGACTTTATAAGAGGACCTTTATGCAAAAATTCTTATGGGTTCTATTTGTAAACAACTCTAATAAATACTCAAAACCCTACCCAAAACCCGACCCAAATTCCTCAGCGTCCTCTCCTCCTTCTGGTCCGTCTCTATTCCGCTCACAAAAAAGAAAAAAAAAAGAAAGAGAGAGAACCGCTCCTCTCCTCCTTCCTGAGCCTCCGACGGCCTTAGACCTTACTCTGCTCTCATCGGACCCATCCTTTAGGCTTCACCCCGCTGACTCCTCCGACCCAATCAGGTAATTTTTTTAACTAAATAATTTTAGGGTTTATTTTGGATAGAAATTTGGGGTTTTGATGTTTTGCAATGAAATTAAGATTTCTAATTCTGAATAATTGAATTAGGGGTTATGATGTTTTTGAATGAAATTAGAGTTTGTAATAATGATATTGCTAAGTTTAGTTGATTGTGATTTTCATATACAGAAATGTTAACATAGAATACTGTAACAAACTTTGAGCTCCGAAAATATTATCTAGACAATATATGAAGAAGTGGCATAAACTAAAGAGTGACAGCTCATAATATATTCATATATGAAAGAACTATGATGATATTAATATAGGCCTAAAGTTGTTGTCGTTTCTGGTCGGCAAGTACCATGATATTCATTTTTGCCTTCCAATTTCCGTGCACCCTGAATACAAGTTTTAATTCTAACCTACGTTTTAATTCAGGAAAAGCTTTTCTATCTAGTTCCCTTGTAATCTGGTATTAATGTGCTATAATATGTAGGAATTTTACAGACTACATCACACCATGACGGGAGATGACAAAAACCGAGTAAGGATTAGAAAACAATACTCTGGAGCTCATAATAGAAGAGTCAAGCGACGTCAAGATGAAATGGCAAAATCACTACATGGCTCAATTTCTAAGCTATTTAAAGCAAAAACACAACATTCTCTTCTTTCGAGTCAAGTTGAAGAAGCTAGTGCCACTGCCAATATTAGTGAAAGTATAGATGAGGTCATTGAGGAATTCAAGGAGAAGTATTTTTCTTTGAATATAAATTGTAGCACAAATGTAATTTCTTCTTATATGAATATTGATTTTGCATGAGAATATTATCAGTTTGAGCCTAATATAGAACGATAAATTGTATTATATGTATTCATTTTTATCGGTATTGTTCGTACCAAATTTTAATATAAAGGGCAACCAAAATTAGATTGGGCTAAGGTAACCCAAAGCTCAGGGCTGGCCCTGATGGCGAAGGTCCCATACGCCTCAGGTATTGGAAGTCTGATGTATACCATAGTTTGTACAAGATCAGATATTGCTCAAGCAGTGGGAGCTGTTAACAGGTACATGAATGATCCGGGCAAGGTACACCGGGAAGCAGTCAAATGGATCCTCAGATATCTACGGGGTACCACAGGTAAAACACTTTGTTTCAAAGGTGGAGATACAATATTAACAAGTTATGTAGATGCTGATTTAGCAGGAAATATTGATATTAGAAAGAGCACTACAGGGTATGTCTATACTCTAGGAGGTACTGCAGTGAGTTGGGTTTCTCAACTGCAGAAGATAGTTGCTCTCTCCATAATTGAAGCAGAATATGTCGCTGTTACAGAAGCCAGCAAGAAAATGGTTTGTCTTCAAAGTTTCTTAGATGAGTTAGGCAAGAAACAAGAAGACAATGTCTTATATTTGCGACAGTCAAAGTGCTATTCATCTAGCGAAGAATCTGTCTTTTCATTCCAGAACAAAACACATACTTATGCGATATCATTTTATCTGGTCACTTCTGGAAGATGGAATTTTAAAACTTAAAAAGATCAGTGGAGCTCAAAATCCGGCAGACATGCTGACAAAGACGGTGACTACTAACAAACTAAAGTTGTGTTCAGCTTCAGTCGGCCTGCAATAGTATCAAGATCGGAGAAGAACTGCAGCAGAGATCGAGATGTGAAGACAGATTGAAATCAGTCTTCAAGTGGGAGATTGTTAGTCAAAGAAGGAGAGAGGTTTTTTTTTTTTTGACAGAAGCAAACAGCCAAAGAAAAGAAGAAGGGGGGTGCTGCTTATTTTGACAAATAAAGAAAAAGCCACCACACACTCTCTTTTGTCAAATGCCTGTCACCGAAAGGAAGCCGCAAGGATTGAAAATGGAAAAAAGAGCACGGGCCCCACCACAGACGGGCCCCACCACGAGCCCCACCAGTAATAAATTATTGGTGCATAGTGTTCAAAACACTATAAATAGGCCCCAAACTCTTAAGGAAAAACTCATCCCAGAAACAACTCCTCTTATAGAAGAACAAGAGAGAAAAAAAAGAGGCTTAGAGAAAAGTCCTTGTGAGAGAAAATTGTGAACAATTTTCAGAGTAGGGATTGGGTTGTGAGAAATTTGTGAGAATATTGTAAAATTTATCTTCATAGTGAAAGATCTGCAGCAGTCCGTGGACGTAGGTAAGTTTGTGCCGAACCACATAAATCTTGCATGTCCCACTTTTTACGTATTTATCTCGTTTTCTCTCAAAGGTAATAGGAGAATCTAAGTAATTTCCCAATAGTTTCTAGGATTCTTGGTGCAATTCTTGAAAAATATATAATGTACTACTTGGATAGGAATAAAGCTCTTTTTAAGATTAAATTTACGTTAGATAAGTCACAATCATTAAAACTCCAAAATTTGTGTACGTTACAGTGATAGGGAAATTAGCTAGCGTTATATGCACAAGTGAAATGCTAGAATTTTCTCTATTTCCTAAATTCAGTGCAAGCCACAAGAGAGTAGCTCGTGATCAATTACAAGCCTCAAAGTTAAAATCCAACAGGTGTCGATTAACAACACAGATGGCAACAATTTGTGTCTAAATTTCATCATTAACACTAATACACATCAGGTAAATATAAACCAACTAGAAAAAGAAAGAATTAAAGAGTGTGCAAAAACATATTAAAGATAGAAAAATGATTTAAGGACCCAAAATATGGGACCAAGTGAGGGGACAGGTGAGGTGTCTCCTCCCTATTGCATAATGAGTTGGCATGGCCAACTCATTATGCAATAGGGAGGGGACACCTCACCTGTCCCCTCCCTTGGTCCCATATTTTGGGTTCTCATAGCAGCATTCTTAAAGATATTGTAAAAGTGAGGGGGTGAAAATTATGACAATGGCAGCCTTAGAATAATGGCATAGTGTTGGAACTCTCAACAGTGTAAGAAAAGAAGAGCAGTTGACATTCTTTATTGACTGCCTACTCCAGTTGAATTGAACCTCTCAAAATCAAATAAACAAATATGTACTCCACAAAATCTTGTATCATAATTCCCTTGCAATCAAGCGCTCTGGTCTGGTATCCTATGAAAATGAATGAGTGAACCAAGGCTTTTTCTTGTACCTTCAGGGGCATTCATAGCATTTCTCAGAAAATTTAATGGGTATTACAGTCTTAACATAAATCAAGGAAAAATAATTATTACTAGCAACAATAAAAAGGAGAGAAAGGATAAAGGAAAAGGCGGGTTCTTGATGGTGTTTGTTCATTGAGAGCGTGTAGGAGAGGAGAATAATAAAAGTTGAAAGGAGTTCAGAAATTGTTCTTTCTTTTTTCCTCCTCTGCTGCTGTTGTTGCTGCTGTTGGTGTTGCTGCTGATATGGGAGTGTGATTCTGAGTTCTTAAGAGAGTACACCTGCAAAAGGTTGTTATGACTTTTGTTGATGTGGGTTGCTTTTGTTTTGGCTTTAGTCTCTCTTTTTCATCTTCTAAGCTTCTCTTTTTCTCTTTGGTGTCTTGTTTTGTCTGTTTCTATTTGATGGGTCTTTCCCCTTTTATGTTGGGTTGTTGTTGTTGTTGGCTTTTGCTTTTGATGCTTTTGTGAGATTTGCCAACTTTCCCTTCTTTGGCTGTGGTGGATGTTTTTATGCAACATTCTTGTGGTGGTTTGTTTCTTCCACTTGATGCTTCTCTTGAGCTCAATATTATGACTATCTTAATCTGAGATTTTCCTTCTTCGTTTTTGTTCTCTTGAGGGTTTTATTTGGAAAAAGTTTTGATTTTTACTATCTCATGTGAGAGACTTTTATGGGCAGTAAGTGATTTACTACTCTTTTTTTGTGGTGTTTTTTTTTTTATCTGGATAGAATTCGTATTTGCTCATTAAATTTACTTGACCAATATTTTATTTGCCTCTGTTCATCTCATGCAGTTATTTTTTTTTTATATACTATTATTATCTGCTTGCAACATATGCCTTGGATGATGAGTTTTTTTTTTTTTGTTCTCTCTCCCAAAGCCAAGTGCATCCAACTCAACACATTCTTGGCTCTGCATTCAGTTTATTAAATGCAATTTCTGATGTGGGTTTTATCAACTTGATAAGATTCCAACAGGCTCAGCAGTTGATTTTGTCTCTCCAAGCTCTCTTCCCCCCTTATTTTCTTTACAAAAAAAGATGCTACCTGTCTGCAGTTTCAGTGATCGTCATCTCCTTACTCCGAGGTGCTGTTTTCTTTTTGCAGGAGGGTTCTTGCTTTTGGGAGTTAAATGGGAGGAATGTGGATGTTGGAGTTCGGGACTTGAAAGCATTAAGCACCAGATCTTAAGATATCTTTGCAACCAAGCAAAAAAGAATATATATATATATATAGAGAGAGAGAGAGAGAGGAGTAATTAATTTAATGTCAGTTTAGTGTTTGTGGGTATCTCTGCTCGCGCTTGAATTATTTGCTACTAAAGATAGAGCCTGTTCCTCTGTCTCCTTTGCATTTAGAGAAGTTGGAGGCTTTGTCATGTGCTCACGTTTAGGCCCTTTTGTTGCTTGTATCATCTTTTTGTATTAGCCAGCTTGCTCTGTTGAAGTACTTGGACTTCTCCTTTGATACTGGAAATCCTTCCACTAATATTTTAGAATAACCACTTGGTTGAGTTGTTGGTTAGGTGGTTATAAGTAAAGGTTAGCCTTGAGCTCATACTAATTAGACTCTTGAGTGATTCAGTTTCTGCCACAATGAAGTTTATGAAGCTTGGGTCAAAGCCTGATTCTTTTCAGGATGACGGCAACGGCATAAGGTGAGATTTTTCATGGATTTTGTTGCTTTTGGTAGTACCAATTTTGCATATTGTTTCATAGTATATATTCGATTTGGAATGCTTATTTGTTTAGGCCTGTTTTTTGTGTGTTTATTGTTGGTATTTGTCTAGATTAGTCTTTTCATAAAGATCTATAGAAAATAAATGAAACTGTCAAAAGTATTCTAGATTAATGCTTTCATTTTGTTATAGAAATGTTATGCGTAAGAGAATTATATAACCTCGTAGGTCTAGGCTGGGTGACCTCCTGAGAAGTCTTCGCTTAACATGCTTAAGTGCATGTCAATGGCTTATTTTAATGTTGCATTATCTGGTATCAGTTCGAGTATCTACTTAGTATTTTTTTAAATATACTCTCTCTTTAGTTTTGCACCAAAAAGGCGTATAAATCAAATTAGTAGGCTGGATAAGGTTATCGGCCTATGCCATCCTTATGCTGAATGATCAAACTTTGTTTTAGCACTTTTTGTAATTAGTCCTCTGTAGTCATTTGTGTTAGTTAATTGAAATACACAAAGTACATGATAATTTATTAGCAATTCGGAGTTAATTTCTGAGAAAACTATGAAAAAGTTCAATGATACTTTGTTGAAATTTACTCCTGCTTTCAACCATTAGTCACTCGACATTTATTCTTTCCATTTTGGGTTCTATGCTTAATAGTTAAAAAAAATAGGTTTCTTATCACTGATAAAAAGGCTCTTTCACCTCTTAGCCGGAATCGTAAGGCATTGCTTCTACTTCGTGTAAACAATTACTCATGTTTTTGAGTTCATTACTTTTTCTTTATGTGTTGCTACATGCCTAAGTAGTATTGATCTTCGCAGATTTGTGACAACTGAGTTGGCAACTGACGTCATTGTGAATGTTGGAGATGTGAAGTTTTATCTACATAAGGTGCAGTTCTTTGCGTCAAAATCACTATATTGTTCCATCATAGAGCATAAAGAGTATCGTGTTGTGTAAACTTTTGTAATCAAATCACCTCATCTGTTCCCAGTGTTGCTTTTTCAATAAAATTTAACAAACAATAACAACACATCATATGCTGAACAAAATTATATCACTGCAGTTTCCCCTTCTGTCCAAGAGTGCTCGCTTGCAACAGTTAGCAACCAGTAACAGTAGTGAAAATGACGAGATACAGATTGATGATATACCTGGTGGTGCTGCTGCCTTTGAAATTTGTGCAAAATTTTGTTACGGCATGACTGTCACCCTCAATGCCTACAATGTGATTGCAGCTCGCTGTGCTGCGGAGTACCTCGAGATGCATGAAACCGTTGAGAAAGGGAATCTCATATATAAGGTCGAAATTTTTCTTAGCACCAGCATCTTTCGTAGCTGGAAAGACTCTATTATCGTCCTCCAAACTACAAAATTTTTACTACCTTGGTCTGAGGACCTGAAATTGGCCAGCCACTGCATCGAATCCATAGCCTGTAGGGCTTCTATTGATGCTTCAAAGGTCGATTGGTCTTACACTTACAATCGAAAGAAGCTCCCATCTGAAAATGGGCTTGACGCAAGTTGGAATGGAGTCAGAAAGCAGCAGTCAGTGCCTAAAGATTGGTGGGTCGAAGATTTGTGTGAGCTTGAACTAGACTTGTATAAACGAGTTATAGTGGCTATACGGGCTAAGGGAAGAGTGACTAATAAAGTGATGGGAGAGGCTCTTAAGGCTTACACATACAGAAAGCTCCCGGGCTTTTCCAAGGGTAGTGCAATTGAAAGAGGTGATAATGCGAAAAGCCAATCCTTGTTAGAGACTGTGATCAGGTTGCTGCCAGAAGGAAAAGGGTCGGTTTCATGCAGTTTTTTGTTGAGGCTGTTAAAAGCTGCGAGCTTTTTTAATTGCAGTGAATTTTGTAAGAGAGAGCTGATCAAGAGAATAGGGTTGCAATTGGAAGAAGCATCAGTATCTGATCTCTTGTTGCCGGCTGCTCCGGGTGAAATAACTGTGTATGACATTGATACAATTTTGAGCATACTGGAGGAGTTTGTGATGCAGGAGAAATATCTTGCAGAAAAAAGCTCAAAGGTTGCAGAAGTTGAGGAGGTCATAAATCCGGTTTTGGTTTCAAACTGTTCGAAGGTGAATGTGGCTAAACTTGTTGATGGATATCTTACTGAGATTTCAAAAGACCAAAATTTGCCACTTTCTAAGTTTCTTGATCTTACTGAAATGGTGCCTGGAGACTTGAGGCCTGTGCATGATGGGCTTTACCGTGCTATCGACATGTATCTGAAGGTACATTCTTACAATCCTTTCAAGATTTCTTTTAGATGAATACTTGGTGTGTGAAGCTTACTATGAATACATTTTCATATCTAAATACAGATACATGATCTCTTGTGACTTGCTACACATCACATTATCATGAACTATGGAAAACCCTAGTTTTCAGTTGTTTTGACTGTAAAATACATGTACTTAATTTCAGGAGCACCCAAGCCTGAGCAAGAGCGAGAAAAAGAAGATCTGCAGTCTCATGGACTGCAGGAAGCTCTCTGCAGACGCCTGCGCCCATGTAGTGCAGAACGAGCGGCTTCCTCTGCGCATGGTCGTTCAGGTCCTCTTCTATGAGCAGGCACGTGCATCTCTCAATGTGCATGAAACTGGCAGCGGTGGGTCTTATGGGAGCTCAAGATGAAACTGATGGGTGGAGGAGCTAGGGTTAGCGAGAGCAGTGGCAGTAATGATGCGCACAAAAATGGGGGAGATGGTAAAGGAAGTGGAAGGGTGAGAGGGATTATGATGCCAGGAAGAATTCTTGGGAAATTTTTGTCGACTAAAGCACATGGTGGTGGCGGCGATAGTAGCAGTTCGGATACTTCAGGGAGTCCAGATGAGCCGAAGTCGACGCCTTCGAGGAACATGACACCTTCAAGGAACGTGAGGCGTTCAATCTCTAGAGGCTGAAGCAATGGATTAAGACTGCCGGTGGTTGGGGGCTTTTTTTTTTGTGGGGTGGGGGGTGAAGAATTTTGCATGTACCATATATAAGAGAAGAAGCATTGCTCTTAGTTCAGAGAGAAATCTGTAAGGTACTAGAGATCTGATGTAGTTCTTTTCTTTTTCTTTTTTTCTTTGCAGCAAGTTCTAGAACTTTTAACTTCG